TCTCTCTACTCTTGACTATGGACACGATGCTTCAAGTTCCTGCCTTGACTCCCAGGGTATCATGGTCCATGAGCTGAAAGAAGCCCTCTCTCCCCTAAGCTGTCCTGTGCCAAGACATTTTATCACAGCAAGAGAAATAAAGCTGGGACATTAACTAATGTCAATATATGATCCACCCTGTAGGATAATCTTGATGCCCATTCTCTATTTATATATACTCCAGATGCTTTTCTGTGAGAAGTTAGAATCAAGTTCTCAAGTTACTCATCATGAAAACCAATCTAGGCCACAACCTGGATGGAACAAATATGGTGGTGGCCACTGGAATGTGCTACTGGTAATACATGTTTTAGATTTTAAAGAAAGATGACCAGTCTATTGCATGCTATGCTGCTGGAATCATAGTTATAGTGAATCCTTCTATAAGCTCCAGCTATTTTTCAGTCATCATTGTCAATTATCATCATTGTCATCATCATCTGTGGTGTTGGGGATTGAAGTGAGGCCTTCTTGCAAATAAAAATTTATTCAAGTATTCTATCATTGGCCATATTTCCATCCCTTGAGTTCTTTTTAATTATGTTTAATTCTTTGTTTTTAAATTAAATTAAAATGCTTTTTTTTCAAGACATGGTTTCTCTGTGTAGCCCTGACAGTCCTAAAACTCACTCTGTAGACCAGGCTGACCTCAGACTCACAGAGATCCACCTGTCTCTGCCTCCCGATTAAAATGGGATTAAAGGCTTGCACCACCATACATCTAGCTTATACTTAATTCTTTTGACACATGGCTTCCTTCCTTCCTTCCTTCCTTCCTTCCTTCCTTCCTTCCTTCCTTCCTCCCTTCCTCCCTTCCTTCCTTCCTTCCTTCATTTTGTTTTTTGAGACAGGGTTTCTCTATATAGCTTTGGAGGCTGTCCTTGTACTCACTCTGTAGACCAGGCTGGCCTTGAACTCACAGAGATCTGCCTGCCTCTGCCTCCTGAGTGTGGCATTAAAGGCGTGTGCCACCACTACCCAACAAAACATGCTTTTCTTTATTGATTGTGACAAGTTCTGTGTAACAAGGCTGGCCTGTGACTCTCAATGCCCGGTCTCCATGTCCAGAGTGCTGGGATTACTCATGTATGTCACATCACACCTGGCTTTGGCTCATGGCTCTATTAGGGAACCAACTCATTTTGATTAGAACCAGCACTGCTTACGAAGGCTTCTCTCTGTTCCTTTGATAAATGCTCTCAGAGAAGACCATATTTTGAGTACTCGGATGATGAGCCTGCTTTCTCATTTCACAGGTCTTCCTGGAGGTTCAGGGTTTGTAAATTCTGAGAATTCTGTTTCCTACAAGTAGGGAGAGATGCCAGTATCGGCAAGGCTGGTGGAAATATGACAAATGCCGATGACCAAGAAAAAACAGCTCTTGGTGTGAACGTACCGGGTCAGAAGAGAATAGGGTGAGCTGGGTTTAAATCAGAGAACTCCCTGTATATCTCAAGAGTTTGGGTAAGTGTGAGTAACAGATGGTGACAGACCCCACAGCCTCCTAGATGGCAAGCTTAACTCTTACCTGTTAAATGACCATAATCATCCCACAGAAGTAGCCCGAACTACTGCCGGTAAACAGGACTTAGAGATGCTAAAATAGGGTGAGGATGATGTGCTTTCCAGTCAGCAGAGATGTTCAAGTATGGAAAAGATGAGTAGAACCTTTGAGTACGGGGCTGGAGAGATGGCTCAGTGGTTAAGAACACTGGCTGCTCTTCCAGAGAACCTGGGTTCAATTCCCAGCACCGACATGGCTGCTCATGGCTGTCTATAACTCCAGTTCCAGGGGACCTAACACCTTCACACCAATGCACATAAAATAAAGTTAAATAAATAAACTTACAGTGTAGAAAAACAATCTGTGGAGGTGCTTTCCAACCTTAGAATTCTATGCTCTTTGTGGGATATACATTTCATATGTAACTGACTTGAAAGCTTTTAGGACGTATATCCTAAAAATTGTGTGTGTGTGTGTGTGTGTGTGTGTGTGTGTGTGTGTGTGTGTGTGTGTGACCTGTCCGTTTTGTTTTTGCAGCATGCACACAAAACGAATGTCAGAGGACATATGGGACTTGTTTTGTTCTTGCCATTATGTGGGTCCCAGTATCAAACTCAGATCACAAAGCTTGGTGCTAACTGCCTTTACTAGCTGCTGAGCTGTTTTGCTGGCTCATTATTTTCCCCTGAAATTTTCACTTACACTTCTCTCTATTCTCTTTTCCCATTCTGACAGATACTGAGCACATTTTTTTTTGGCAAGAGTTGTGGTGGCAGTCTGGCAGTTGAGATAATATGCTGTTCTTCCTGGTTGTTTAACCTTTTTACGAAGCTTACTAAGGTTACATTCCTCTGAGGGAAACCTGGAAGGGTTAGAAGAGAAAACAACTGTCCCTTAATACATTGGCACCTGAAGTAGGACACTTAGAGCTGATCTTAATTTAAGATTAATATTCTGTTGTCTCATCAGCCTGAGAAGACAGAGGACCCTATCCTTGGAAGATGTAAGATGTTTCTTCTTAGTTGCTTCCAGGTTCTTGCTATTACAAATAATGCTTCTATGAACATTGTTGAACAGAGGTCCTTGTTGTATGAATGTGCTTCTTTTGGGTATATTCCTAAGAGTGGAATTGCTGGATCTTGTGGTAGACTGATTCCCATTTTCTTGAGGAGTCGCCATACTGATTTCCAAAGTGGCTGTACAAGTTGGCACTCCCACCAGCTGTGGAGTAGTGTTCCCCTTTCTCCACATCCTCTCCAGCATGAACTGTCATTGGTGTTTTTGATTTTGGCCATTCTGACAGGAGTAAGATGGTATCTCAGAGTTGTTTTGATTTGCATTTCCCTGATGGCTAAGTATGTTGAACACTTTCTTTCAGCCACTTTAGATTCCTCTATGGGTAGAGAAAATGTGGTACATTTACACAGTGGAGTACTACTCAGTGGGAAAAAAATGGAATCTTGAAATTCACAGGCAAATGAATGGAACTAGAAGAAACCATTCTGAGCGAGGTAACCCAGTCACAAAAAGACAAATATGGTATGTACTCACTCATAATATGGATTTTAGACATAGAGCAAAGGAATAGCAGCTTAAATCCACACTGCCAGAGAAGCCAGGAAACAAGGACGAGTCTAAGAGAGACATGCATGGTCCCCGGAGAACTGGAAAGGGACAAGATCTCCTGAGCAAATTGGGAGCATGGGGGGAGGGGGAGAAGGGGAGAAGAGGAGGGGTGAGGAGGACATGAGGGAGCAGGAAGGTTGAACTGGGGGAAGAATAGAGGAGAGCAGGATAAGAGATACCAAAATAGAGGGAGACATTATAGGTTTAAAGAGAAATCAGGCACTCGGGAAATGTCTGACACCAGCTAACAATCTATGCCCTCCCCTGATAATGAAATTGATGACTAACTTATATGCTATCCTATAGTCTCAGCAGCTGGTGGCAATAAAAGCAGACACCTACAGCTAAACACTGAACTGAACTGGAATCCAGTTGCAGAGAAGGAGGAGTGATGAGCAAAGGGGTCCAGACCAGGATGGTGAAACCCACAGAAACAGCTGACCTGAACAAGGGTGAGCATTTGGTGCCCAGATTGATAGCTGGGAAACCAGCATGGGACTGATCCAGACCCCATGAACGTGGGTGTCAGTGAGGAGACCTTGGAAATCTTTCGGACCCCTTGTAGTTGATCAGTACTTATCCCTAGCATAGGAATGGACTTTGGGAGCCCATCCCACATGGAGGGATACTCCTTGAGCCTAGACACACTGGGGTGGGCCTAGTCCCTACCCCAAATGATATGACAGACTCTGAAGAGCCCCTTCCCATGGAAGACCTCACTCTCCCTGGGGAGCACAAAGGGTATGGGATAGGTAGGGTGTTAGTTGGGGGGGGCAGGGGAGGAGGGAGAGGGAACTGGGATTGACATGTAAAACAATCTTGTTTCTAATTCAAATAAAAAATGGAGAAAAAAGAAGATATATCATTGTAAAGTCTAATAATTACATGTTATTTAAATGATACCAGCCAGAATATGACACTTCTTAGTTCTGTAAAATAAAATATTCAAATTCAAATGTGGGGGGGAAAAAAAAGATGTCTCTTCTTGGGCGGTATCTCTAAGTGGCTACAGACCTCAAGTCTTTGGTCTTCTGCTACCCTCTTGTGGACAAGTTAGGAATAACAATTGAAGATTTCAAAGTGCTATGTAAGAATTGGTTGAGGGTTAGTGAGTGGGTGGGACTAGGGTTCCCAGAAAACAGGAGTCAAACTGTTAATGATGCAAAGATACTCTCCTCTTTTTCACAACTTTATTTTTTGCTCCAGACGCATGGTTTTCAGTGAGAATATGGCCACCTGAAGACACCGGTGCTTTTCACCAGTGTCCCTGAGCAGCTCCCTTGGGGTGTCATGTCGGTCCTCCCACACCTCCTCTTCCTGGAGTTGCACACCTGTAGGTTTCTTCCTCCGGTTTTGTGGCTCTCATGCCACTCCGTCACCGACTCTTTCTCTACTGTTTTCTGCAACCTGTACACCTTCCTTTACAGTCCTGCTGCTGCATCCCTGACACCCCCTCCCAGCACTGCTCAGGTCCTGCACAGCTGCGGTCCTTTTGTTTGGAAAGTGAGAGAGGGAAACACTTGAACACAATGAGGGGAAGGGATTCTGAGTCATTGGGCATGCCCTGCTGGAATCTGGTGCTGTCTTCGTCACAGAACCATCTTACAGCCCAGCTGCTTCCCTCCCGGGTCAGCAGCCCCCACCTATCACCCTGCCCAAACTGGCTCTCCATCCCCTTCCACAAAGAGTCACAGTGGCCTTGGGGCCCTTCCCGCTCCTGCCACTGGGGGAGGATGGGTTGTATGGCCTTTCTACTACCTGTCTCCTGGGTCTTCTCTTCCCAGCTGGGAGCCAGGAAACCACCCAGGAACCTGGCCGGATTTCCCTCCCATCATGCTTCCAGGCCCTGCCGCAGCCTCCGGTCCAGGGCTAGGAGCTGCCTCAAGAAGCCCCGGTTGGGGATGATGCCACGGTGATCCTTGACTTTTTTGATGGCCTCCACAAGGGTGAAGTGATGGTACAGCATAAGGTAGGCCAGCACCAGGGTGGCCGATCTGCTCACTCCCACAGCACAGTGAACGAGGATCTTCCCTGTGAAGAGGCAGACAGAGAGACATCTGAGAGACGGCCGAGTTAAGGCCTGGAGAATTGGAAAGAGATCAGCACGGCCAAGTGAATAGACCAAGGTAAATCAAGGCACAGTGAGACTGGAATGGGAGAGGATGAGCGGTGTTTAGAATGTAGATCCTGGACTGGTCAGACGGCTCAGAGTGGAAAGGCATTTTCCACACAAGCCCGATGACTTGAGTTCCAGGCTCAGAACTCATGTAAAGGTCAGAAAGACCTGTCTCTACAATGTAGACCTCTGATTTCCACAGATCCATTGAGACACACGGACACACGGACACACGGACACACACACACACACACACACACACACACACACACACACACACACACACACCTTCTCAGTAGCAAAGCATGCGCTTAGCATGAGCAAGGCCTAGGAGCTCAATCCCAAGCACTTCTAACAAACAATGAAGGTCCCTGGCAAAGGGGGGAGGCCTAGGCAGAATAGAATGGAGAAGGAATTCTGAAGCTTGGTATTCATGAGCCTGAGTGGCATTCAGGGGTACAGTCTCAGTCCTGTTGTTAATCAGAGCTTTGAACAGAGCAGGTTCTCCACTGACATTGGCTGGGTGCATCAACAGGAATCCTTCCATGTTGAATCTATTCTGTCTTAGGTCTTCCCCAACCCTTCTTTTTGTGCACCTGTGTATGGTGGATATATGTGTTCGTGGTGTGTGTGTGTGTGTGTGTGTGTGTGTGTGTGTGTGTGTGTGTGTGTGTGCCCGTATGCAGATGGGAATATACAGGTGTGAGTGGGCTTATGGAGGTCAAAAGTCAATGTTGGGTGCTTCCTTAGCGGTTCTCCATCTAATTTATTTATTTTTGACATAGGCTCTCTTGTTGAATCTATAGTTTGCAGAATAGGCTAGTCAGGCAGGAGCTTCCTAAGCTTTGCCTCACCAGTGATTGGAGACAGTGCCTTTGTATGAAACATTCTTTACCACCCAAGCCATCCCCTCAGTTCCTCCCTAATACCTTTGTTGCTTGAATTTTTGGCATTTGAGACTGGGTCTTGCTATATTGCCCAGGCTAAGCTCAAGCTTATGTTTAAACGGGGCCCCTGCCTTAGCCTCTGGAGTAGCTGGGACTATGTGTACACCCTACTTCTCCTCCCTTCTCTCTTGCTGTTTCTCTCAAACACTGACTATATTTTTATCTAGTATATGGCTGTTACTTGATATTTGGTGTGGATTGAGTCCCAGAAAACCTCCCCATTACCAACAAGTGTGGATGCTCAGTTCCCACATATAAAATGATATCACATTTTTTTTGGCATAAAACCCCATACACCCTTGTATAGTTTTGACCATTCCTGGATTATTTATGTCCACTAACACAATGTAAATTCTCTGTAGATACTTGTTATGGTATATTGTCCATGGAATAATACTTCCACCCCCAAATATTTTCTATCTGTGGTTGGTTGAATCCAGTGATGCAGAACCCAGCAATACGAAGGACCAGCTGCATTTTTTCCTGATAACTAAAGCATTTTAAAAACCATATTTAATGTTTTTGATGGCAGGAAAGTATGGAAATAGGTTTAAAAATATAAAAGTTACGACATTCATAACCTCAGTGTCTAGGAGTAGCTTTCACTTTAAATGATGCCCTCATCTCTTTCAAACTACTACCTTGAAAAAGATGATTGAGAGAACATTTTTTTTTCTTTCCTTAGCACTTAAGTTAGCTCCTTGGTTCCTAAGCAGCTTGTCTTACTGCTAAGTCTTTGCTCCATCTTTGAATCCTGCAGATCCTGAATGCCACACCCATCCCATCCCTCTAGCCTTTCTGCTTCCCCTCCTACCTCCTGGCTGGCTCAGTGCCCGGTGGATGAAGTCCGCAGCTGTCTGAAAGTGGATGCTCATGTCAAAGGCGGGAGAGTCATGGGCCTCGACACCCAGGTAGCGGATGCCTAGTCCCTCATAGGCCTCGGGGGTGCCTCTCCACCTGCTGTGTGAGGCGTTGAGGACATGGGTGATGCCCAGGCGACGAAGCTCTCGGCGGTTGTTGGCCATGTCCCTGTGTTAAATAGAAGTTAGAAAGGGAATGGGGAAGCCAAGATGCCAGGAAACTTCATCCTAGGTGCTATTGTTGGCTATGTACATCCACTGTATTTACCAACGACCCACAACAGAGGAAGATGGCAGAGTTGGGGTCTCATCTTGTGAGCAGTGTTTGAGAGGTCTGGAAATGATTGCACTAGGGAAGAGAACTCTAAGTGCATGGGGTTAAGATGACTGTGATTGAATACTGGGAGTGCTCCGAGGAAGTGGAATTTTCCCTGATCTGTAGGGCTCTAAAGGGCAGAACTAGGCTGAAAGGATTCAAGATCCAGAAAGCCAATTTTGATTTCACATGAGGGAAATGTACATTAAGAGAGATCGCTAGCTGGGGATGGGGTAGAGCACTTCAGGGAAGTCATTTTCCTGACACCAGGGTGTCCAGGCAGAGAGAAGTCCACTGTGGACAATCCGGGAACTGTGGAGGGGTGTGTCCATCAGGACAGTTGTGGGACCTGCTCCTATTTCAGGTCATAGCTAGGGCTATGGATGTAATTTCATGGCAGGGTGTGTGCTTAGTTTGTGCTGTACTCTGGATTCGGTTCCCAGAACCAATAAATGAATGCAGGGGCTGGAGAGATGGGCGAGTGATTAAGAGCAATGGCTGTTCTTCCAGAGGTCCCATGTTCAATTCCCAGCTCCCACATAATAGCTCACAAATGTTTATAACATGCAGTTCTGTGGGATCCAATGCCCTCTTCTGGGGTTCAGACAGAAACACATGTAGACAAAACACTATTATACTTAAAATACACAGATAAATGAATAGGTGCATTAATTAATAAATAGGTCCCTGGTAATCTTTAGATTATATGGGTCTGATATTCATTCCCCAACCCTCTACTGTTATATAAATTCTACTTGACACCTGGTATCTATTACTCTAGGGCTCTTATTTATTGAGATCTATAGTCACCTTCATATATTCATCTGGTCCATACCCTAGCATCTTAGTGGTAGAAACCCCTCAGACACAATGGTCAGATACTAGCATAGACAAGCCATCTAGTGAAAACTCCCTACCTAGAAAGGCCACCGAACCCAAAACAAAAACTGATGACACTCCTGCTTCTAGGATGTGTGACCTTGGTGCAAATACAACTTTGCTGAGCTCCGCTCTCCTCATCTGTAACCCAGGGAGGGTGACTCCTTACCTCACAGAGCTGCTTCGAGGATTAAGAAACTGCTGTGCCAAAACCAAAAACCAAAACCTCACATATTAGGGAATGAAACCCCTTTGATGGCTCTCTCTTCATTGTCCTTGGCTGCGATGGCTTCACTTGGTCTCCCCTTCAGCTTTCTGCCTACTGTTTCTATCTTAGTGACGACCTTTTCTCAAAGCCACGGCCCAATAGCTGGAAGGTCAGAACAACACTAGCCTACAATACTGGCACTTCATACAAGCTCATCCAAGTACCACAATTTCTTAAACAGAGTTTCTCTGTCCAGAGTTGAGTATTTTAATAATTCCCCCCAAATCCTTCAAACTTCTACTCTTTATTCACTGATCTGTCCCCTTCAATCTTCAATCTGGAATCGGCAAAGTGAGTCAGTGTCTGCCTGCCACCTTTCTCCTTGGACACGCATGCACACACTCAGACATGGTCCCCCCTGGGCCATCCATTACATACTGGTCTCCGAGGTAGAGGCCTGGCCAGACCTCGTCAGCATGGTTACAGGCTGTCTTGCCTGTGTAGAGGAGCCTCTCCAGCTCAAAGACGTTGAGGAAGGGATGGTGGGCAGTGGGCATCTCCTCAAGGCTCCCTCTAGTACGAACAGGGGATCGTGAGCTGCTGCGGGAGAAGCGGGCCATAAAAGTCATGGAGGCCCAGAGCCAGTTACCGGGGCACATCTTCGAGGTGGCAGGAACCGTGGCTGCTGTAGGGTGGCTTGAGTGATGATGGTCTCAGTCACCAGGTAGCTGCTGCTGGAAGCAAAGGGGTGTCAGGCATAGTTGAGTGAGTTCAGAAAAGCTCTTTCTTTTTCTCCCGGCAGGCTGGGTCCTGAGGGGTAGGTCCTTAAGCAACAGAAGGCAAGGCTAGCTAGCCTAAGAGCTGAACTGCCTCCTCTCTCTGGCTACTGTGGGTCCCTCCACTAAGTTCTGGCTCTGGCACCCAAGGAGGTGGGAGTCACATGTCCTTGTTTACGGGAAGAAGGAGTTGCCCAGCTGCTGTTTCTCCTCCATTGCCCTACCCCCCCACTGCCAACAAACGCAGAAACGCACACACATACATTGGACACTTGGGTGCTTCTACACACTGCTGGGACACTTGCCAGCCCAGATCTGGGTCTCATCTGGCTGGGGTTATAGGCAGAGCATCCAGGGAGCTGGGATGGGGATGGAAGTGGCTGCAGAGCCATCCAGAGAGAATAACCAGGAAGATAACAGCAGCTGGGACAATGACATATGCCAGATATGCCTCCTGGGTGCCAGCGAGATGAAGTTCCTTAACCCATCCCTGCCCTGCATGTTGCCAAGATAAGCTTGTCATGGGGAAGGCTATTGGGAGGGTGAGAGTGGGAAATGATGAAAAGAGGAAAAGTGAGCTTGCTGAATGTAAGAGCTGATGGAAGAAGGCTTCAGTCTATGCACAGGAGCGTGGGAGTGGGAGGAGTGAGCCTCTCCTTTGACTAAACCTCATCCCTAAGGAGAGAAGTCTGAGTCAAAGCAGGGTTGGAGCTTTGTGTCTGTGTCTGGTGGGGGCGGGGCAGAAGTGGGAGAAGCAAGGTGTGTGTGGGTGGGGTTGGGGGGAGGGCGGCTAAGAGATCCCACAGGCACAGGGGCAGCTGAGAGGTCCAGAATTGTCATCTTTGTTGCAGTTGACATCAACTGAACCTGTACAGTACATGGATCAGGGAAAGCCATGAGGGACCTAGCAGGTGTGTCTCAGAGTACCTGTAGAGAGAGACCTTGGGAAAGTGGGCTCCCGAGCTTGCCTTTGAGACTTGCCCTAGGACATTTGGGCAAACATACAGCTATGGGAGACCCCCTTGTCTTCACTTTCAGGTAGGGTCCTGCGGTTTTGCAAGGGCAGGCGAACCTGCAGAATTCCCTCCTATCCCCTTTGCTGCTGTCTGCCTTAGGGACCACAACTGAACGTCCAGCAATAAGAAGCCATCTTGGCCCATGGCCATACGTACAGTGATCCCATCCCACACTCCCAGCCAGGCCTAGCTTTCTCTTCTCCCAGGGTCAGGAGACACCAGTCTCTCAGAAGACACCACAAACAAGGGCAGTGGGATTGCACCTAGCGAAGGATGAGTCGGTATCCAGGAGTTCAGGGACAGGTAGGTTTTCAAAGGCTGGGTTAGAAGAAGCACAGAAATCTAGCACTACAAAAAAAATCATCACCATCACCACCACCACCACCA